GTAAATCTGTGCGTCAAATGAGGTGCATTTGTAAACTCTTTTTACACCCACCCGACAACCAACTGCTATGCAATACTTACTGTCCGATTATCAATTTGTATTTAATGGTGAATGTAGTCTGACGCCAAGACCAATATTTATCAATTAAGTTTCAGTGGGGGGTAGGGGGGTTTGGAAAAAAACTAAAGGAATTAAGTTTTTTATCCGACATCGATCTTTTGACGTCGTCCCTAAATTAGCAACAATGTTGAAAATTAGTTCAGAAATATTTGGGAAGGAGTTGTACTTCTGGACAAGCTTGTGCTGGACTGCAAGGTCTGGAAGTTAACAACTCAACCAGTCTCACATTATAAATTATTGGTGCTGGACTGCAAGGTCTGGAAGTTAACAACTCAACCAGTCTCACATTATAAATTATTGGTTCTTTCCAAATCACAAATTTTACTTCATATTATAAAAACACTTCTCTCATAAATAAATAAATTACATCTTTTCAGACCAGTGTATTTTTTCGCACATGCTTTTCTTGATGTTTGTTGTCTCGAAATCACACCAACATTCATACAATTGTTTCCAAGAAGGTGCGATTGTTTTCATATAAAATAAACATAAACATTTAATCTATTTGTAATGACAATCAAACACCAGTATGCAATCACAATGAATTAACCATTTTTTTTCGAAAAACCATTAATTTGAAATGTTTTATATAAATTTGATGTCATTTATGTAAGTGTCATTTGGTTATGATTGAGGGAAAAACACACAAGTAATATAACTTTATATATAATAGATAATTCCTGCCAGAAAAATTGTCACATTAGTTTAAAGGGTAGTGGTTGTCACGCCACGCATGCACGAGATATGAGTCTCATATAAACAAAGATGGTGACTGTGGCACAGACCAATGTGTACAAACTGAGACATCACCAAGCTTTGATAAGGTAATTTTTTAGGTATCAAAGGAATCACCAGCAGTAATTAGTGCAATTCGTACGCAGGTCAAAACCTGTACTTTGGATTTCATTAGAAAAACGCATTTGATTATTATGAATGCTGCACATGCACGGTGCGATGACCACCACCCTTTAACCTGTTGATTGTATTTTATCCCACAGAGTAAACTGGGATAATTCTTTTGGAGACATTCTCATTAAAAATTGATGTTCAGCTGTCAAAACATCGTTGTCATACTACTTGCTATCAGTCTACTGACTGTACAACACATTGTCTGACTACATCAGATATGGGAAGTACAATGTGCACATTTGATGGTTGCTAGGGATGAGAGTTGATTCATGGTTACAACAAAGTAGGGTAGCTCAACGACATTAATGGTCCATATGTAAAGCATATTTAATGGGTATTGTTTGTTCAATTATAGGCTGATTTGTCTAGTGAAATGGTCATTTTGGAAATAAATCAACCTGGAGCTACAGAGAATGGTGGTCAACTTGTATTTGGTAAAGATGGATATCTTTATATCACTGTGGGATACGGTGGTGCTGATGATGAAATGGCTGCTGATAAGTAAGTTACTATATACATTTTATGTAAATTGTTAAATATTTATAAATATAAATGATACAGTATCAAAAACCGAGAAAACTGTTCTCTTGTACTGTAAAATGATTTATTTTTGCTATTCAAAAGCTGATTCAGTGAAAAAAATCCCATAAATATGTTCCTGTATTTTATGTTCAGCCCATCTAAAATCAGTGAAAATAAACTCTATACAAAATACTAGTATTTTCAGCAAAAATCAATTTTAGCTAAAATAAAGTATTTTGCATTATGGTCTGCTCTATTTATATATCATATAGTTTCCTATTATTATCCATCTGGGAGTAAACATAATTAGAATTTAGCTAAAAACCTGTACAGATGTGTTAGAAAATGTTAGACGTGTTCAAGCAGGATGCCTTTTATCTCATTTGGAAATTTTTGTGTCATACTAGTATTCACAAACCATTTCCTCTCTTTACATTGTGATGGAAATCAAATAAATCCCAGCAGACATTTTTTGTGTGTGTAAGTTAACCTTTTCACCACCAGACTTTCTCGCCCATATCAATCTGCACTTTTTTCTTATATGCTTCATATTTCTGGAAATTAACCCTAATTTTGGAGCCAACAGACAAAATTTTCAGTTTTTATTTTTAAAAAATTGGCTATTTTTGTCCAAATCTTCCAAAGGAA